GCAAACCACTCTCTGCAAGGCCAGGATGTAGCTAAGCCTGGGCATCGCACTCGCGCTGTGCACCACTGGGAAGTGCAGGAAAGCTGGAACACAATGGCTTCTGCTCCGGAGCCCCGATAAGAAGCAGCTGGGCTCGCCACTGCTGCTCGTCGCGCGTGTAGTCCATGATGTAAGCCTGGTCCAAACCCAAATAGCCTACTATGTTGAAAGCGACTCTGCCCCCTCCCTCCCCGGCCATCTCCACCGGACCGGTGCTCGTCGCCAAGCCCACGAAGCCCTGCGGAAAGTGAAAGGGAACTCAAAGAGGTTTTCCACGGGTTCGCAGACGCAACAAAGGGGCGCACCCGAGCCAGCAGCAGGGCCTCGCAACATGAACTTCGTGAGCGAACCTACTTGGTCAACCTGCGTTGGCTGCAGTCTCCAGCGAGCAAGCTGGCGCGTTGGGGATCTAGTTTTGGTGGGAGAGGGGGGGCAAGACTTAAGTTGTGAGCCGATGCCCAAGCCGGTACAAGTACGTGGAGAAGCTGAGATCCAGGCTGCAGGAGAGTCGGCCTCTGCTTGAAAAGAATTCGATAAGGCCTGGGCCGCGACACCATCCGTCCAGGGTAGGCTTAGGCTGTAGACCCTGTAGGCCCTGTAGGCATAGTCAGGCCCCCGTTCTTTCGTGCGCGGAGGGATCCGGGCCTGCAGCAAAAGGCCCCCGAGCATCACCTGGCAGTCGATTCTGTACCAGCCCACGGAATACAGATCGGCGAAGCATAACCGGAACGGACTCCAGCAACACCCACTACCTGTGTTCAACGGATCCATTTTCCGAAAAAGCCGGAATGCGGACTAAAACAGAACGATCTTCTCTGCCCTGGGGCGCAAGGCAGATGTGATTGTATTTCGACGATTGATCGGCATTTCGCAGATGCAGTGCGATTGTTACATTTCCTGTGGCACGCGTGACAGCACAAAAAAAGGACAGCATGAGAGAGACTGAGGTTCTCGTGAAGCATCGGCCGAAAAAAGGACAACGTGGGATTAGCAGGAGAAACCTGACTCAGGCGCGCCGCCATAGCCCTCGAAAGCCCCTCTGCTGGGAGTTCATGTTGTGAATCACCCCTTTCAAGCTTTCAGACTATCCCCACACCCGAGCCACAAGTGATCACATCCGCACAAGCTCAAAGCCTACAGAGCCTCATGCGGGAAGAACTGCCGGGCTCGCATACTTCCGCCCGAAATGGTCCGAGATCGCACCGACGCAGGGGGCGAAGACCATCTGCCTCCACAGAGCACTGGATCTATGTTCACTGCTACGAACACTTGCTCTGAGGTTTGCAGTCTCTGCAGCTGGACCCGAACCTACCAATGTGCGCTCCGGTTTTGGTGCTCTGGAATGCAAGGAACGCCGGAATGCTGAGAAGCCACGTGAAGTTGAAACACGAGGCCAGCAGCGCCACCTTCCAGTTTTCTGATCTGGTCTTACGGGACTTGGGAGCTTTGGGTTATCGGGAATCCGGTTAAGACTGGTGGAGAGAGTTGCAGCTGTGTTTTTTTGGGCTTTGGGCGCGGTTCACCCTCGAAACGGACGGCATGCTCTCTCGACCCGCCACCCCAAGCGCCAGAGCCTCCAAAGCTGATGCGCCCAGCTGTTGCACAGCCTGATTTGCGTCGTGAACCCCAGACGTCGGCCAAGATCCAAAAATTCGAAGCACAAAAGCTGCTTCCAAAGCCATGAAATGTCAATACTCTGTGCAACTCGGCACGATCCCCACGGAGGAGGGGCAGCTGGGCCCCGTGCGAAGAAAGGTAGCACCGGCAGCA